CTCTTATAGTAAGAGTCTCAAATAGAAAATGTCAGAGCTGGTATCTGGACAAGACTGTACAAAATCTACACCCAACATCACTGTAACAAAAAACTTATATAATAACTTCATTTAAAGAGACACTAACCTATATAATAATCCATTTTGTGTGAGCTCTGAAATCTCAGCAAATGCATCTTTGTGCTCAAAATGCAATGGGGATGAACAGAGGTTGTTTAATGGGTACAAATATAAGAAATGACATAAGAAATAAGGCCTGGTGTTTGATAGATCAGGAGGATGACTATAGTTAATGATAATCCACTGTATACTTCAAAATAGCTACAACAGAATAATTTGAATGTTTCTAACATAAAGAAGAGGCAAATATTTAAGGTATTGGATATACCAATTTCCCTGATGTGATCTTTATATATTATATGAATGTATTAAATTATCACATGTACCCTGAAAATATGTACTTCTATTATGTATCAATAAAAAGAAATAAGGCCAGGCGCGGTGGCTCACGCCTGTAATCCTAGCACTTTGGGAGGCTGAGACATGCGAATCACCTGAGTTCAGGAGTTCAAGACCAGCCTGGCCAACATGGTGAAACCCTATCTCTACAAAAATACAAAAATTAGCTGGACGTGGCAGTGCATGCCTGTAATCCCAGTTACTTGAGAGGCTAAGGAAGGAGAATCATTTGAACCCCGTAGGCAGAGGTTGCAATGAGCTGAGATCTTGCCACTGCACTCCAGCGTGGGTGACAGAGCAAGACTCCATCTCAAAAAAGAAAAAGAAAGAGAAAGGAAGGAAGGAAGGAAGGAAGGAAGGAAGGAAGGAAGGAAGGAAGGAAGGAAGGAGGAAGGGAGGGAGGGAGAGAGAGGGAAGGGGAGGGAGGGCGAGGGGAAGGATGGAGGGAGAGAGGGAGGAAGGAAGGAAGAGAAAGAAAGAAAGAAAGAAAGAAAGAAAGAAAGAAAGAAAGAAAGAAAGAAAGAAAGAAAGAAAGAAAGAAAGAAAGAAAGAAAGAGGAAGAAAGAAGGAAGGAAGGAAGGAAGGAAGGAAGGAAGGAAGGAAGGAAGGAAGGGAAGGAAGGGAAGGAAGGAAGGGAAGGAAGGAAGGAAGGAAGGAAGGAAGGAAGAAGAAAGAAAGAAAGAAAGAAAGAAAGAAAGAAAGAAAGAAAGAAAGAAAGAAAGAGAGAGAAAGAGAGAGAAAGATTTTTGAAATATGCAATGGGACATGAATGCAATTTTCCTATTTCTTAGGAAACACACTTTGTTTCATACCTCCTAAGACACACCTCTCTGTAATTCCATCTGAGCTCTATTTCCATTTCTTCCCTTTCCAGAGAAGTAAAGACTTGTTATAGTTGAGGAAAAAGAAGAAAGGCTTAGTCCTTTCCTCTTTCGTGCCAGAAACTTAACCAAAGGGGTCAGATCTACTTATTCAATGGCTTTCAGAGGAGATATGCAGGAAGCCCCATGGAAGCGGGAAGGCCTAGGGCTACCTTTCTGAGGTTCAAGAGACCAGGAAGAGCTCCATACACCAAATATCTTTAGAACTTAGGTAAGTTAAATATTACTCTATTTAGTGCAATTTAATTAACCTGCACCATATTATTATGGAAATCTTGTATTACTTTTAATGGCAAAAATTGCAATTACTTTTGCACCAACGTAGTAAATAGTGTGCATTGTCTTTCCCATAGATAGCCACTGCTGCATTAGGGAAATCTGTGTGCAGGAAGGTATTGATGGTTTGGTACCTCCCTATCAGCAGGTTAAGAGCAAATATTACAAGGGTACCCTGGGGCTGAAGTAATTAAAAGCATTAAACATTATAATTTTGCACATAAATGCTATGCAAAAAAGACATTGATTAATCCAGTGTACTCAACAGTGGTTTTTTACCATAAACAGTCTTTGTCTGGGACAGTATTTTAGAATATTCATCGGTTTCCAAAAAAGGGACTTAATACTGGGACATAATTCTGACTACTACTCTCACTGGAAGTATGGATTGGGTCTGAAAATGTGTCATTAAATTAGGCTCTAAGACAAGTTAATCTAATAAAGTAAAGAACCCGGGAGATGTGGCTCGTGTCTGTTAAAGACAAAATCATGCTGAAGTTACAGAGAATTTTGTTTAACATTGGCTTATACTTTATTCCTGCTTCGTATAAAACAGTCTTCTCCCAAAGGTCGTAAATACCAAAGTAGATCATTTCTACTAGTTCTGCAGGCAAATGAAGGTAGTTGGAAGTGTACACAGGAAATCTATGCAAGGGAGAATCAGAAAAATCTCATGAGCATGTTCTGAATACAATTTCAGTAGTCGGGAGTGGTGGCTCATGCCTATAATCCCAGCACTTTGGGAAGGTGAGGGGGGCGGATCGCCTGAGGTCAGGAGTTTGAGACCAGCCTGGCCAACATGGTGAAACCCTGTCTCTATAACAAATACAAAAATTAGCCGGGCATTGTGGTGGGTGCCTGTAATCCCAGCTACTTGAGATGCTGAGGCAGGAGAATCGCTTGAACTCAGGAGGCAGAGGTTGCAGTGGGCCAAGATCCCTCCACTGCACTCCATCCGGGTGACAATAGCAAGACTTCGTCTCAAAAACAACAACAACAAAAAAAAAACACATACACAATATTAAAGGATAAATATGGTTGCAAATTGGGCAGGTTATGGTCTGAGTTATTTCTTAAGACACTGCAACAAGTCAGATGCGTCATAAGCACAGATGTCTCCAGGAGCCAGGCAGGTGACATTAATGAACAGACAGGATGAAAGTCAAGAGGCAGAGATGGAGTCAGAGAACAGCCCTGAGCTAGAGCCCTTTCCACAGATGGAGCTTTACTCAGCTCTAATTGATACAACACAGTAATGGAGACACAGTGCACCAATCAACATCATGCGATTTTTAAAGATAAGACAGTGATGAAAACTTTTAGTGAACTATTCCAATGTCAAACGTTATCTTCCAAACCAAACATTATAAATAGCACTGTGTAGGCTGAAAAGAAACACTGTTTAGTCAAGTACATGCCCTGGGGCTGCGGTCTCTGTCTTTTGCCTCATACTATAGACACTTGAGTGCAAATCTTTCTACCCAGTGTGACTGTCAGCATCACAGAGGGGATACTCTACGTATCATTCACCTTTACATTCTCATCACCTACAAAAATGATCTCCACACAATATACATGAAAAAACAAACTCGCCTCATGATAAAGCTGCTAATGACTGTCGGCCAGAGCAGGACTTCAAGGCAGAACACTATTAGCTGCACATTGAGTCCTCGCCAGGTCCCCTTTGTGTCCACATTTACCTAGGGACTCCAGTGATAAAATTACTGCATTTCTAAATGACAGGAAAATTGGATGGTAGCAAAAATTATGCAGATTAATGGTTGGAAAGTATATGATATCATTTAAGGATCTAATTTCAATTTTCTAATCTCAAAGCTAGACCACCAGATTTAACATCTCTTAGTACCCACGACTTACCCCTGCAATTCACTTCCCACCTCCATACAATCTCCCCCACATGCCCAGAATATTCATCTCTTCCCGAAAGCCCCTGAAAACCCCCTGCTTTTACCTTAGGACCCTGCTGCAATGAAACTTTTTTTTTAACTCTTCCTTGTCCCTCAAGCCAAGTGATTTCCTTCACCCTCAGTGTCCCCATGAAATCATGTTCACACAAGTGCAATTACCTCTCTCACACTGTAATTCAATTATATGTCTACAATTACCTTCCTGTGTTTCTCTGAGGGCCAAGAATAAGTGTATGCTTTGTGTATCAAACTGTACATTTGATTTCTGTACTTTCAGGAACACAGTGCTCTGTCCTTAAATGTTCATTTTGTAAATACAGAACCATTTTCTTGTTAATATCACAAAATGAAACTTATCAGGAAGATGAATGACAACCCCAGAACACACTGTTTTGTAGAAAATACCATAGGCTGAAAAGAACACAGGAATACCAAGTGCTAGGCTGGAATCTTTCATGACACCAAATGTTCATTCATTCTCTCCCAGATTTTACGACTTTCCTCAGTGTATTTTTAGGTTGTGTAACTTTACACAAAGTGGAAGCAATAATGAGAGCAAGACTTAAAAGAAAGTGAATCCAATGCAAGAGGAGAAAAGGAAAACCCTCAAATATGTGAAGCAGATTGTTTTAATAATCTACAGAATCTTGTGTCTCAAGAAGTTAATAGCTCAAGTTTCCAGCAAAGAGTGGTGGATGAGATGGAGAGCATTTGTGTGAGAGAGAACCAAGGATATTACTAACAATGAAAGGCAAGCTGGCTTCCTCCTGGGCAAACAGCCCTCTGTGGCTCTATTTGTTCTAACTACTATGCCCTGCCTTCGTGCACTTTGGTCATTTAGGGGCCTGCCAGAGGACAGTTACAAAATCTGTGGTCATTCTGCAGGCAACATATAGTTTTCATCCAGAGTCCAGATCCAACCAGCAAAACTCTGTCTTACACAGAATGACTTGGAATTAGAGTCCTCATAGCAGAAAGAGCAGCAGGGCTATCCTTGGGTATCCATTGCTCAGCCAAGTTATCAAATAAAAAGGCTGATTGATGGGCCAGGCCCGGTGGCTCAAGCCTGTAATCCCAGCACTTTGGGAGGCCAAGACGGGCGGATCACGAGGTCAGGAGATCAAGACCATCCTGGCTAACATGGTGAAACCCCGTCTCTACTAAAAAATACAAAAAACTAGCCGAGCGAGGTGGCGGGCGCCTGTAGTCCCAGCTACTCAGGAGGCTGAGGCAGGAGAATGGCGTAAACCGGGGAGGCAGAGCTTGCAGTGAGTTGAGATCTGGCCACTGCACTCCAGCCTGGGCGACAGAGCGAGACTCCATCTCAAAAAAAAAAAAAAAATCTGATTGCACAAGCGGACTATGTACCCATCTGTGGGTTTCTACAAGGCCAAGAGTCAGACCCTCCCTCCTGGCTCTGCTGGCCCAACCCACCAGGAGATGCTTTATTTAAACAGTTCCAAGTAGGGAAGAACAGTTGCCCCTGAAGGCCAGAACAACCAGCTGGATCAGTTCTCACAGGAGCCGCAGCGCGGAGACTGGGTAAGTCAGCAATCCCCAGAGCTGGGACAGGAGGGGCAGCGACCGGGCAGCACCTGAGGAAGAGGTGGGCTGAACTTAGTGCTTAGGAGATGTGGCCCACTTTGGGGACAGGAAGAAAAAGGAAATGGGACCCCAGAGTGGCAGCAGAGGGGCCTGTGGGGTGAGACACCGGATGGGGGAGTAGTTACTTCTCTTCTTTTCTCACAGGAAAACATGGTTCCAAAACTGTTCACTTCCCCAATTTGTCTGCTTCTTCTGTTGGGGCTTATGGGTGTGGAAGGCTCACTTCATGCCAAACCCGGACAATTTACCTGGGCTCAGTGGTTTGAAATCCAGCATATAAATATGACCTCTGGCCAATGCACCAATGCAATGCTGGTAATTAACAATTATCAACGGCGATGCAAAAATCAAAATACTTTTCTTCTTACAACTTTTGCTGATGTAGTTCATGTCTGTGGTAACCCAAGCATGCCCTGCCCTAGCAACACAAGTCTCAACAATTGTCATCATAGTGGAGTCCAGGTGCCTTTAATCCACTGTAACCTCACAACTCCAAGTCGAAGGATTTCAAATTGCAGGTATACACAGACAACAGCAAACAAGTACTACATAGTTGCATGTAACAACAGCGATCCAGTACGGGACCCTCCACAGTATCCAGTGGTTCCAGTTCACTTGGATAGAGTCATCTAAGCTCCTGTATCAGCACTCCTCATCATCACTCATCTGCCAAGCTCCTCAATCATAGCCAAGATCCCATCCCTCCATGTACCCTGGGTATCAGCATCTGTCCTCATCAGTATCCATACCCCTTCAGGTTTCCTGAGCTGAAGTCCCTTGTGAACCCTGCAATAAACTGCTTTGCAAATTCATCTGGAAGTGTCTGTGTGTCTTCTTTGGCCACTCTGCTGTCATTTAGTGACAATCTACTCCAGAAATTTTTCTTTCCTCTAACCTGAGACTTGTGGGAAATAGAGATTTGAGGATAAGAGACTCTTTCTGTCATGAAGTAGCACAGACTTATCCCTCTCCCTGCTTTAGGTTGAGAAGCTGAGGTCACAACTGATATCGACCAACTGTCGAAGACTCTTGCTTTGATCAAGCTTTAGTCATCTCCTCTGAACCCTCATCATAACTAGGTCATCCTGTTGGACTTACTAGTCCTTCCTTGTAGAATCATTTATAATTACTTTTATTTTTATTCTTTTTTTTTTTTTTTTTTTTTTTTGAGACAGAGTCTCGCTCTGTTGCCCAGATTGGAGTGCAGTGGCGAGATCTCGGCTCACTCCAAACTCCACCTTCCGGGTTCAAGCGATTCTCCTTCCTCAGTCTCCCAAGTAGCTGGGGTTACAGGTACGTGCCATCACATCCAGCCAATTTTTGTAATTTTTAGAGAGTGGGTTTCAACATGTTGGCCAGGCTGGTCTCCAACTTCTGACCTTAGGCAATCCACCCTCCTCAGCCTCCCAACATGCTGGGATCAGAGGCATGAGCCACCAGTACCAGACCTAAAGTTAGGTTTTACAGAAGTCCTCCTAACTTGGTTTGTCATGAATCTCTCATCCTCAATATTTGACCAAATTCCTTAATTCCCCCATCATTCTCCATGTGATACCTGATTCCTGGCCTGACTTCAAAAAAAACCAAAAATCCAATTACATCAACCTAGCATTGGTCTCCTTAGTCTTGATATCTCCTCTAGGCAATTTTCCATCCGCTGACCCCTCCCCACACACCAACCTATAACTTGACTCTAGATCTCCACTTGTTTTAGTTGTATTTCACCATTGAGCCCAATTTGATACTGAGGTCCCATTTGATGCTTTATGGTATAAGTTTGGTTTTTATTGACATGATTTCTATCCCAAGATATATAGGAGCTGCAGTGAATAAGCTGAAAATGCACGTGTTTCATTATGATTTATGAATGATAAATTTTGATAGGATTGAACGTTATGATAGAAAACACAAAAACAGAAAGTAGAAAAAGTCAAGAATGCTATAAATAAGGTGAAATCAAGATTTTAAAAAAAGTTTAGCCTCAGAGATATTCCTTTTAAATGAGCACATCAAATCTCCAGCTATTAGCAATTGTACTAGACGTGGATCCAGGGTTTGAGTCAAATGTGCAATAAGATAAATTGTTCAGACAGCAATAGGGACAGATTGTAATACCGCCTGGAAGAGAGATGGGCATCTTTCCCAAAACTTCCATGTCCTGGAGATGGGGAGCCGCTGGTCACGTGGGAAGGGGAAGGGGAAAGAGGAGGACGCGGAAGTGGGAACACTCATGAAGGTGAGATGACTCCTGCCCATTCTGCCCTCCATAGCTATCCGCAATGGTGAGTCAAAGGGTTCATTCAACACCTGTCAGGAAGGGCACAGCCTCAAGAAGTAGGGATTTGTAGACCCAGAGAGAGAAGAAATGGATAATAAGAGCCCTTGCCCTGGCCTCCATTACAGGGCTTCACTCAGGAATCCATGAGAAACAGGAAGGGGAAGCCCTTTCTTGCAAGCTGTGGACAGGTGCAGCACTCAGATGATTGTGCCGGGGACAGAGTGGGTCTTTTTGGATGGCCTGAGTCACAATACAACAGAGATACCACGTCATCAGATCTGCACCTTGGTCCTTCAGTCTGAGATTTCTGACTTCTATATTTCTGCTCCTCTTCTAGACCCTCAGAAACAGCAATTTCCATTCCTCAGATGACTCCATGTCAGTAATAGTGACTCTCATTGGCACCAGACAGCAGCTGTATTGAAGTCTCTCCTCAGGAGAAGCCATTGAGATCTTGCTTCTCCAAGGTGGGGCTATGAACTTAAAAGTTTGCACAGGGACACTGGGTTTGGGAAATCTCAGTGCTCAACAGAATCCACTGCCTCTAGGTAAAATAGAGCATGTCAGGAAGTGAGTGCAGTCTTCCCAACCCTCAAAGTAGCAGAAGGACAGGGTGGGACACTGAAAGCTGGAGCCACGTCTACTGTGAAGAAAGATGGCGTGGACCTTCCTTGCTTCAGGTACCAGATCATAGGTGTCTTCTCAGTCAGGGATGCCTCATATCTAAAACCGTAGGACAGAGGGATCAGTCCCCACATGCCCCCACGCCCTCTTCACCTTGTGACTTCATCCCCTCTCCTGTCATCCATTCCTTCGCTCATTCATTCATCCAGCAGACATCTACTGAGTAGGTACGTTGCTCCAGGCACAGTTTAAGGGAGTGTTGATGCAACACAGACCAAGACAGGTCACTGCTCTTTTGGGGCCACATTATGCTAGGATAAAAATAAACATACAAAATTGTTCTAAGCATGCAAAATTTTGTTAAGTGTCAGGAGGAAAAATACACAGCATAGTACACAGAAAATTACACAGAGCACCACAATATAGAGGTTCTGTATGTACCACAGACATCACAGGGCAGAGTGTCACCAGGAAAGACCCATCTCAGACAATGAAATCTGAACAGGAGGAAAAGCACCCAGTCATGCAGACACCAGGTGGAGAATTATCCCAGCAAAGAGAAGGAAAGTTCAAAACTCCTGACAAATACTAAAGCTGTAAGTAGACTTCAGTTCTGTATTTACAAGAAGTTGATTAAAACACCTGAAAGAAAATGACTACAACTATTTGCATCTTTGTATGTATTTATTGCTTGATATAATAAAACATTTTCATTTTTAAAAAGTGGTCCTGAATGGATAGAGTTTCGGCGTGTTAGAAGCACAAAAGGTGTTTGGTCAGGATAAGATCATCATAGCCAGGAGTATTAATGATAGGAGTTAATGAGGTTCAGACCCTTCATGCCTGTGAAGATGGAAGAATAAAGTACGTTCCTCATGGGGAACAAATCAAGCATGTTACATACAAGAATAATGCTGCCTAAAGATCAGCCCAGCTGCTGTGCAGAACTCAACTATTTGGGAGACAAGAGTGGAAGCAAGTCCCCAGTGAAGGACCACAGGTTGAGGGAGAGGGAAACAAGAGTCTTCCAATCTCAGTGAAACGCACCATCATCCTCTCATGGTGCAACCCCATGCTATTCCCCTCCCTGTTGCCATGGCCTCTCTCCAGCCCCTCCGTGCCTTTTACATCATCTTCCTGCCGTCCCCATGCTGAGGACTGGGCTGAGGTCAGAGGCAGCTCCCCTCTCCCAAGGAGTGAGACAGTTCAAACAAGAGCGAGGAGGATTCTGTGCTTGACCATCAGGAAACCCTGGCTGGACTCACTACCCCTTCTGCAGTAGACATCCAAGATTTTCTCATTGCCCTGGGTCCAAGACCAGCACCACAGAGACTACCATTAGAGAAGTTAAGTGGTCACATCAGCATGTTCCAAAGACATGACCCTTAGAGTCCACTTCTCTTCCTTGAACCTCCAATGTCTGATTTTATAAAATTCTCTTAATATCAAATCTCCACAAAGTCTTGCAGGAGTAAATGCAGTTATTTGTTCTATAAGCAGGCAGGGAGGGTCTCCAGGGATTGTAAGAATTTAATCAACTTGAGCAACCAGCCTGTTTTACAGGCTTGCTGGTGAGAACCAGCTCCTGGCACAACCCAGCAACTTACAGACAAACCGGCACGAACTTTCCTCATTACCGTGCTAAAGTCTCCACTCAAGCAGGAGCCTCATTACCATAACATGTGAACTATGTGCTGGCAGAATCACTCACTGTGTCTGGGCAACTGGGACTCCTCCTCTACATGTGATGATACACCCTCTGCCCTCTCCATCACCCCATAGAATGTTCTTGTCACTTTCCCTCAGGAAGACGCTGCTTTGGAGAATCCTCCCAGTGGCCTTCTTACTTGAACCAAGTCACAAAACTTTTTTTTATCAAAATGTACATTCTCATAGAGAGTCTTTGTTACTCGCCAGAGAAACAAACCCTAGTTTTTTTCAGCTACCTGCTCTAACACATTCTTTAAAGTCCAGCACAGAAGGAAGGTTAATTCACAATGCTATTGTTTTCACTGTGTTTTACTTTTTAATAATTGGGACCATATCAGGGCAGATGTCTTTAGGTGGGGGTTGAATGGAAGGTCAAGGAGACAAATCATCAACCTTGGGGAGATACTCTTGCAGAGATCATGACTACACTTGGGATTCATGAATATGAAACCCCACCAGCAGAGTAGCCGGCAACGTTCAAGGATATCCAAGTAGATCAAGCAATTGTAATGAAAAAACAACAGGCTTTGTCTTCCAAGATGTCCGTGAATTGATTTTCCAAAAGGAAAGGAAGATTCCATTGTCAGGGCAGAAGAGAGAGTGGAGAGGGATCTAGGCTGAACATTGTAATCAATTTTGCCTGATAGTGACTTTTTGTTTCTTAGTTCACTTTTTATATATATATATTAGTTTTTGGCCCAGGGTGGAGGGCAGTGGCACAATTTTGGCTCACTGCAGCCTCCACCTGCCAGGTGCAAGCGATTCTCCCACCTCAGCCTCCCAAGTAGCACGGACCACAAGCGCTTACCACCATGTCCAGCTAATTTTTGTATTATTAGTAGAGACGGGATTTCACCATATTGGCCAGGCTGGTCTCAAACTCCTGACCTCGGGTGATCCGCCCCACTTGGCCTCCCAAAGTGCTGAGATTACAGACCTGAGTCATCGCACTCAGCCTCTTAGTTCATTTTTAGAGAGGAGATCTCCCTATGTGGTCCAGGATGGACTTGAAGTTCTGGACTCAAGTGATGTTCTCGTCCTAGCCATCCCAGTAGTTGGGACTACAAATACACACCACTGAGCCCAGCTGATACTCACATTTTATGAGCTGTGTTTCCACTCTAATCACATAAGGAAGTGAGGCAATTAGTAGGGATAGGAGCATAGAAATTCTGTCTACATCTCTATTTTAAATTACCT